ATTGTTTGCCTATGGCTTATGTGTATTGTAATACAATTCTGTATCTTCTGAACAGACATATCAACATGCGACTGCTGTGATTCAATCTCTTGTAGAGGAGGACATTAATGTTAAATTTTTGGTTCAGCTGGATAAGTTGATTCGCTTGCTGGAAACTCCAATCTTTGCGTATCTTAGATTGCAGGTGCTAGATCAAACCATGTTTCATCTTAACTTGTCTTAGGTCCTATGTCTGGTAGGATATGATTAAAATGGAGGTGCTTGTTTGTTTCTGTATGATTTTGATGCCAAGCCTAAGAAATAGTAATTTCCCACTATTTTCTGCCCCCTCTATATAAACTACTTTTGGCCCCCTGTAATTTATTCCATCTATTAGTGATCTTTCCATATGGTAACTTTATTTGCCCTTGTTCTTTTTCAATATGGCGATTGGAATATGTTGGCCAGTTTCAGGCGAACACACTCCTGTATCATTACTTGTTTTTAATTGCTGTATTCTTTTTACTTTTTGAAATAAAAAATGGATATTTGACCTCATTAGTAGGATGATTGGTTGCCACTTCATGCAGTCTAATTACGGCATTCTTATTTGGGTTTTTTCTTTGTTCCTCTTGTTGATGAGATGAAAAATTAACTCATTTTTTCTTTCTAATGAAGCCATTCCTGCCGCATCTTTGGCTGGATTTTTTCTTATTCCTGTTTGAAAAGATAAGAAATTCAGAACAATGTGGCAAATTGTATTTTAGAATATTTATAGTCACTCTCAGTTAGTTCATCTTTTATATTTGTTGCTCCTTCCTTTGTCAAGTATACCTCTTGATCCTCATATTAGGCATACTTCTATAATTGACTATAGTTTGAATAACTTACAGTTGTACTGAGATTAATCAGGTAATTATCAGTGGCAACAAAAAAAAAAAGGTAATCATTAATCCTCGTTTTTCAATTTTGCAGCTTCTTGAACCTGGAAAACATGTATGGTTATTTAAATCATTGTACGGTCTTCTGATGTTGCTTCCTCAGGTGTGTTCAAGTAACTTCAACCATTTCTTTCTTTCTTTCTTTGTTTTATTTTGTGGGGTATTAACTTTAACCATTTCTTTTGAACACTCAACTTTTAGGGGCATTAACTAACTTGTAAGGCTGCATCCGTATTCCCTCCTTACTAGGAGGGGATTTCTTAGACTTCTGACGTTGCTCAAATTTGTTTTCATGCTTGGTTTTGGGAACATTTATCAATGAGGCATAATATGCCTTGTCCATTCGGGAATATATTCTGATAAACCATTCAATCCGGTTGTTTCACTGACATGCCTGCCCTTACTACATTTTGGTGAAAATGTTTGCTATCTTGCTGCCAAAAAATAGATATTTAAGTTGTCCATCAGAATTTGACCTTTGTGTTGCTGAACATCGTGGGTAGGTTATTATCTACAATTGTTTTGAATGTTGATACTTGAATCTACTTTGTATTTGTACTGTCATGTCTCTGTTAAATTTTGCATGTCATTCACATTTTTGGGCTGGGCTGTTTACTTTTAGCCATTCAGAAGTCTACGATGCTGATGACATTAACGTGGTTGTTGAACGTTTAATCTTTTAATATATCGGTTTGCTTTCTTATGCAATACTTTTTGTGAGTGCATGCATATTAATTTACCGTGAAGAAGTGTTTTATGTATAAATTAATGTTAGCCTTGTACTGTTTGCTTTTATGTTATTGAGGTTTTTACTATACGTTTAACACCATATTGCAGCAAAGTGCCGCCTTCAAGATACTGAAAACTCGTTTAAAAGCCGTGCCCTCGTATTCTTTTAATGGTGAACAATTTGAAAAAACATCATCCGGGAATCCTTTCCAAATTCTTCATCAACTGTCTGGATCTCAATCTATTGAGGATGGTGATATGACCATCGATGGTGGGCAGTCACATAACGGAATCAATTTTGCCGCAAGGCTTCAACAATTTAAGAAAATGCAGTACCAGCATCGCATACATGCTAGAGCACAAGCCCAGTTGCGCAATAATTCCACATCATTGCCAAAGGAGGTTGTCCTCTTCACTCTCTCTTCCACTGTTTTCTCTACATTTCTATTAAATTTTTGGGGGTGAGAATATGAACACGTTGAAGATTTGGGGTGAAGTGAACCTGGAACACTACTGGTGTTGAACTTGTTTCCGTATATTCATATGCTTCAACGCACAAGTGTGTGTGTGTCTACGGACACACGTATAAGGATTTCCTGTCTCCATGTATTATCTTACCCTTCCTTTTCGGTTCTTGTCTGTTCCCTGATCCCCGTTACTGGTGGTTAATGCAGGGTTCCCAATCACAAAGACAGGAAGAGGAACCGAGGCGATCTCAATCACCTGACCTTAATCTCCTCATTTAAGATCATCAAAGAAAGGCTCCGGGCAGCAGCAACTATAATACTATTTAATTAATTAATGTTGTTTCTGCCCACTTAGAGTCTTACCGTGCACTGATCCCACAGGGTATGTGAACTTTGAGTGGGATTGGGTGTAAGTTTAACATGTAAAATTGTAAATTCATAGAAGTTGGCTCTTTCTGCCAATAGAGGTTGAGATGGTGGTGAAATTGGAAGCTTGGGCTGTACCGGGGATATTCTTTTGAAACGAGAGATTCCCACGTGGTTGTGTTGTTTTTTATGTAAACCATGTGGGCTAGTGGCAATGGTTCTTATTTCCAAAAGTTGCATTTTGTTTACATGTTCACTGTCTACCACCATCTTATTATATACTAAAAATAATTGGCACTGCGATTAGAAAACAAAGGCCAAATTAGTATCTTGGTATCTTACTTGTACGTTTGCCGTTGTTTCTCTCAGGAAAAAAGGGGGGGGGGGGTGTGTGGAATTCCTTTTGTTATACATTTTACCCCTGCCAACTAACGCAGCATGTGAGTCTCAACTGGAACTGTCACCTTCCAGTCGCCTTTTCTGTCTCACATTTTCTATCACTTGGTCTTAAAATTTTTTTGGAGCATGAGATCCAAAGTTTGTGGATGGAAAAGGCGTGCTTGAGATTTGTTTCATTTGGACCATACAATTATTGGATTTAACCTGGTAGTTTTGTGTCTGTATATATTTAGTCATTTAATTTTATGTAAATTTTTAATTTCATCTTTTAACTTTAAAAAATATATTTTAGTCCTTTAATCTTAAAACTAATAATAAACATTCTTAAATATTAATATGTTAAGTTTATTTTTTTAAAAGGATTATGATTGTTATAAAAAATTATTCTTTAAATCTAACGATTTTAAGAGTAAAAAGCTAAAAATATACTACCTCAAGTCTTAATTATTAGAATTAATTGACTAATTTGATGAGATTAAAAAAGTAAGTTAAATTAGTTATTTATAATAAATGTGTTGTTTTTCTAAAATATCTTTACTAATCAAGTTTATTGGTTAGAACTAACATTATTAAAAGGACTACTTTAGAAAAAAAATGCATAAATATGAAAGATAAAGTGAATCGGAGTCTTATAATTAGGATCAAAATAAAAATCAAACAAGGTATTATATTAAGAACCGGAGGTAGTATTTTTTAAAATTAAAAAATCATATTAAAATTTTATATAAAGTTAAAACGATTATAAATATATATATTAAAGAAAAACAGTCCCTCTAAGTTTCTGTTTTCATTAATTTGCTTTTGCCGTTGCAGCCGCAGGAAAAATCACCATCGCTTCTGATGGCTTGCTAATCTATATGTTCCGTTCCATTAATTGAAAATTTTGGGGGAAAAAACAACTAAGAAGGGAATAGAAGCCAAGTTGCATATTGCCATCATGTCGGAGTCAGCAGAAAATTCCTTCCGATGTTTCAGTTTGATAAATTTACTCCTAAATCGTTGTCACCAACAGCCGCCCATGAGATGTAGAGGTGCGACTAAACATTTTTTATTCTGTGTTGGGGCTCATCCCATGATTTATCATCATTAATCAATCGTAAGAAAAATGACGACGCTAACTTGGCGCCCCTTGGGTGCTTCTCTATGGTTGGTTACTTAAAATGTGAGAAGCATAATTATCCTACGGTGAACTTTCTTATAGTTTTAGACATAGAATTGCGTGTTGTTGTTGCATTATGAGATGAAAAGCACTCAGTATTTTGGCCTTCTCAGACGACTAGGAAGACACCAAAAGACGATATGCATAACAGCTCATTATCACCACCAAAGGAAGAATATACCTTTTCCCTTATCCAACTCTTTACTCTTAGAAAAGGGTAAATGAACTCATTTGTTAACATAATCTTACCAATTTTTTATTCAGTCAATTGTCTGTTAATATTTTAAGAAGAAACGATCTTATCTAAAGATAAATGAAAAAGAAATAAAGAAGAGACAAGAGAGTTTATATGCATCTTTTTGTCATTTGCACATTTGTAAGTACTTTTTGAATTTTATCGCAGGTTCCTAGAATTTAATTATCTAAACCTTTTCTTCATATTCCCCTCCCAAAAAAAATTAAATTCATTAAAAAAATTTTAACAATCTTCACTATTATTTCCGGTCCTTAATATAAAACCTCGTTTGACTTTTATTTTGGTCTTAATTATAAAACCCAATCCACTTTGTCTCTCATATTTGTTCATTTTTTCCTAAGGTAATCCCTCTAATAATGGTAGTTCTAGCCAATAAACTTGATTAGTAAGAATATTTTAGGAAAGACAACACCTACTTATGACAAATAACTAACTTAACTTATTTTCTTAATCTCCTCAAATTAATCAATCAGCTCTTATAATTAGGACCGGAGGTAGTATTTCTTAAAATTTAATAACTTTCCAACTTTACTCCTATTTAATGTATATTCTATACTTAGCTTGTTCCCATGAATAATAAATAAAGAGTTTAATTGTATATTTATATGTTTAAATTAATAATGTGATTTATAAATAGGACATAAAACACTCTTAGGATTAGAGTGATGCATGTTAAAGTTTTGTTTAAAATGACACTGATTATGTTAAGCTCTGAGAACTTTTTCTTTCACATGAGATCATATCTACCAACAGCATACGCATCGGACAACCTTTTCATTCTTTCATATACAGAAACCTAAATTCAAGTCCTGATCTTCAACACTGATGATGAATAAAACACACCGAACTTCCTACTAAATAACAAAGGGAAATTAAATATGGACAGACACGTAAAACTGCTCAACATAGATCCTCCAAAAAGTGCATGCTTTCATGTTCTATACCTAGGGATCTCTCGTGACTAATTTCACATGAAAAAATTCGAAGCGGCAAGATGAGTTCCAGTTCTAAGGCAGAAACAGGGCTGTTCTGTGATGAACCATTTGGTCTAAAGAGCACAGATCTTCTCCATGTCAGAATCATATCGCTCCAAATCAGATATCTTTGCAGAGTAAGACCATGATAAAGACTTGCTTCCACTTGCTCTCTTGATGCGTCTACGTGAACCGCTGCAGAAATTAATTCCAAAATGTTGTCTAAACACAAAGTAACACAAGCTTGCTAGGGTCCCAACTAGAACTGGTGCACCAAAAATAGTTATGGTAATAGCCATCCATGTTTGATCTCCAACAACAACAAAAGTTATTGCAAGAAAAGCCCCACAAGTACACGTACATGCAGCCCACATCATCTTGTTCACCACTGAAACGACCTGCTTTTGAGCCCCAGTGTCCCATGCTACCAAAGTGATCTGAACTACAACAACAGCTAGAGAAATGAAGAGAGATGTAGCGTTTAGAAGAAAAAAAGATCTGAAAGCAACCTTATCAGCTATGTGAGCCTTCCCTGACTCGGCTCCATCCTTTATATATTGGCCAGGAAGATTGAAGATAGCCAAGAATCCTATTGAGGCAAAAAGAACAGCAACAACTGTGACAGAATTTATGGTGTTTTGAACTGCTTCTCTATGAAGTTTTTTCAGTTCCTTAGCAATACCAGACACTCTTCTGCGAGTTTTTTCATTTTGTATGAGTTGTGACTGCACTTCATGCTTTATATCACTCACAGTTCTTTTGAGTTCCATAGCTTCATCCACTTTCCCAACATGCCTGGCATACCTGGCACCACAGTCTTCAAGGGCCTCCGTGATTTCCAAAGCTGTAGCTCCATACTGCAGTTTATCTGCCAAATCCAATGCTGTTTCTTGCTGATTATTGATGGCGTTCACATCCATAGCTTTGTAGATGAGCAAAAGGCTTACTATCTGACATACAGAGAACCTTGCGTGAATTGAGGCACACATAAAGAGCAGGAGCAAAACATCATTGCAAGGAAAAATAGTACAGCTCAAGAACAGTTTGGTGATTAATAAATGCATGCAGAGTTTGTTCAAAAACCCACATGTTAAATCTACGTAACCCCTTCCCTATCAGCCAAGACATAAAATATAATCTGAAATCAAAAAAGGGAAAACACAGTAGCATGAAGTAAAGAAGCTACAGCAGGATAATGTAGAGGAGATAGCCCGTCACAGACAATCAATACAACCCTTGGAAAGATTGGACTCATTAATAGAAAAAAGCAAAAATGGTAACAAGCGTGCAACTCAGATTCAATGGAATGTGAAATTGACCTGTGAACGGCCTTTGCGTGTAGCTATGTGTAGAGCTGTATTACCCTTCTTATCACGTTCATTCAGAATAGTGGCATCAGCTTGCAATATCTCCTCCACCATTAAAGGACTCTGTCCTTTTACAGCCATATGCAGGGCAGTTTGACCTTTCTTATCTTTGATGCAGACAATTGTTGGATCTCGTTCAATAAGTTCTTTCACAATCCGAAGGAGGCCGTACCTAGCAGCGTTGTGCAGAGCAGTTTTTCCATTTTTCCTAACAATCATCATTGAACTGACATCAACATCCAAGATAGCATTCACCACGTCTAAATGGTCTTGAACAGCAGCTGAATACAAGGGGCTAGTGTTTGAGGAGTCACATAACTCACAAACTTCAGGCCAAGTACGCAAAAACTCCCTCACAATACCTGGAAAAAGATTGACAACTTTTGTGTATCATAATCGAAATCCTCGATTATCACCAACATTGCAGTAACAATTATCAAATCTGTTTTATGTATTCTTATAAAATTTGGCGTACAAACTGCAACTAACCTAGTATTATAATAACTTATATATGAGAGTCATTTTGTAAGTAATGTTAACTTAAGATCATCAAATGCATGGCATTCATCACTGTCACTTGAGCATTTCGGGAAGAAAATTATGAAAGAGAAGAAATAACATCAAAGAAGACACATCCTTGATTATTCAAGACTCAAGTAGACAAATTGCATGGTTAACCTTAAATGTCAAACGAATTAACCAACATTAAGAAACATTAAATATTGAATTATGAAAGTTAAGTCAATGCCCTCGGCAAGCCGTCTAATCCATTAATATTTTCATGTTGCCATTTAATATAGCTCAATAAGCCATCACAAAGGATTTGACACTTATGAGAACCAAAAGGACACAAACAACACACACACGCAAAAGAGGAATACCCAGATGGCCACGTTTTGCTGCTACGTGAAACGCGTTCATATCAGACTTGGACCTCATCTTCACCACTTCCAAGTCACAAAGCTTGAGTAAGTAGCTGAACACCTCGCAGAGATTATGCTCTGCAGCGATGTACAAAGGCGTCTCACCAGCATCGTTCTGTAGGCACATGAGATCAGACACCGAGAACCCATCTAAAGATTCTTCCTTTTTCAGCTGGTCAAGGATATGCGTGAGCCCATCAAGGTCCCCCGATCGAACAATAGAGAAAACAGATTGGTCTGTTATGAAGCGCAGATCCTTGGAGTCCATGAAGCAAATTTAAGTGGTCTCCTTCTAATAAAACGGCAAAAAGGGAGATGGGATTTGTAACTTATGCATAGGGTTACTTGCAGATGAAGTCTCGCTTAACTTCTTTCATTCTGTGAAACGTTGTTCTTTGGTCCAGCCCAGAAGGGAAGCAACTGCGCGTGGAAAGAAATTTAACTGTTGTTTAATTTAACGAGAGGAGAGTCGAGCACCGAATCGTGCTCTTCCAATTTGTACTATTTTCTTCGGTGGGGTCTGCTCGCAAAGAAAGTCGTGTTGTTCAAGATATTGACTTGTAGAAAGGATTGTTTCTTGTAGCAAATATCATATATTTACATTATTGTGAATTTTATTGTTAATATATCAACATATACTTATAGTTGATAGTTGTTATTCCCCATAAGTCCCAAATAATTTATCAAATATAAAATAAAAGAATTTTTTTGGGGCAAAATATAAACTTCTAGTTAAATTCAAATTTGGTACTACCTCCGGTTATAATTATAAAAACCAATTGATTAATTTGAAGAGATTAAAGAAGTAAGTTGAGTTAGTTATTTGTCTTAAATAGGTGTTGTCTTTCTTAAAATATCCTTGTTAATCAAGTGTATTGACTAAAATTATCATTATTAGAAGGGCTACTTTAAAAAAAATATATAAATATGAGAGACAAAGTGAATTAGGGTTTTATATTTAGGATCAAAATAAAATCAAATAAAGTTTTATATTAAAAACCTGAGGTGAGGTAGTACTTTTTTAATTTGTATAGCAAAAATGACCCAAAAAAATCACTGAAATAGTAAAATTGCAAATGAAGACCCATAACAATATTCGTACGAGTTTTAACAACAATATTTACAAATCGATCCCTCCCTGTGTGTAATTTTTTTATTTTCATGGTCTTTTTTTGCCATTTTCTCATTTGTATGCATATCTTTGTGAGGAAAAAAAATTTCAACCTCAGCTTCCTTTCATAATCCACATTTTTGAACACGTGACTTCTAATTCAAAATGGTTACAAAATGAATGTAGCATCTGGAAATTTTTTATTGGCTTATTAGTCATTTTTTATTGTAAAATACCTTTAAAAAGTTTTATGGGATCGTATTTCAAAATTGACGGATCGACCTGTAGAAAATGAATCAATGCGAACTCTATCGTGAGTATTGAATAATAATCAATATAAATAATCCATCATAAAAAGAAAAAGAGTTTGCCTTTTAAAGCATTTGAGTTAGCTAACCATTTTGTCACTTCATAATAGTACGCAGTTACCACAATAAATCAAAAATTGTTATCATATAAACTAAACACATTTTTTGGACCCCAAAAAAAAAAACTAAACACATTTTCCCAAATATTACGCTAAGCATAAGAAATAAAACTTATTATTTATAACATCTAAATAATATATTTTATAATTTTTATTAGTGTTCGTGTGGTGTGTCAATATTTATAGTAATTTATACCAATATACAGTATGAAACAAATTAAATAGCTCACAAATAATTGATAGACTAAAGTATAAATTTAGTCTTTTAACTTTACAAGTCTTTTAACTTTAAAAAATATTTATTTGATTGTTTAACCTTAAAATCATTAAGATTCAATATATTTTTTGTAACAATTATGAATGTTTTAAAAATTAAACTTGATATGTTAGTTTTTGAAAATATCTTATTAACATTTAAGATCTTAATATCATTATTTTTAAAAAAAAATTTAAAGTTAAAAGACAAAAAAGATACTTTTAAAATCAGGAAACTAAATTAAAACCTTATACAAAGTTAAAAGATGAAAAATACACTTTAACCTAATTAATAAAATGGAACTCATTATTAACAAGTCAAAACCCATTTCCCCAGCCACATACAAGACCCTCCCAACTCACGTAATTTGACACATAAATATATCTATTATTAATCAAACCATATCACCAATATCTGCAGAAAGTTTATTTCTGTATCGCTTTTTTGGGATATCACATTAAGAGAATGTTTGAATGAACTTTTTAAAGATAATTTTATAATATACGAGATAAATCTGTTAGAATTGTAGGGAGTTGCCAAAGTTCCCAGTCTTCACGACATTTGAGAGCGGAAACGCAATCTTCACCTCTCACCAATCAATGTGAGAAAAGCAGCAGTGGGCAGCTTAGTGCGACCCAACACAACATGAACCATTCTTTAAAGCTTAGCTTAAAGACTCGTCAAGCGTTTCACAAGCAGGCCAGCTTCTAAGTCTCTTGTGGCATCCTAAGGTCCTATCCTTTAATTAATTACACAAGAAACAATAAATAGTTCTGCTATATCCTTTGCTCCCCACAGCATCCAATGAAATAAATGACTGTAAAATGTTAAATTCATATCATATATATTCATCAGCCTCGGAGGGAATACTTTTTCCCCGTAAAAGGCTGAAATTTTGGTTCTTCTTTCTGTTGAGATGGCTCCTGTTTCGCCTCTTTTTCCTGCTTAGTACAGAAGATGAAGAATTTAGCAGTCTGTTGATCCAGAGAAACTTGGGTGTAACTGAATTACGAAACCAAGCCAAATTATTAAGGGAGCTAAGTGAGGCCCTATTGAGATATGCCTGACATACTAACATGTCTCTTCATGATTGTTTAGAATCGTTTATAAGACAGGGTCTATATAACAATTTTTCTGGTTGATTACCAAAACGTAACTACCATCAGCAAATGATTTGCACTAATGCGAAGAACCTAAGTTACCTTTCCAGTGTCTTTAGATCGGTTGGCATTTGACCCAAACACAAGCTTCTTCTGAGATTGACCAGCATTGCTCTGGGAACTAGACGCTGCAGAAGCCAGTGGACTTCCAGTTCGAACCTCAGGTCTCCCATCCTTAGAACCCGAAGAAGAGTCTGAAGAAAGTGGATTCTTTGAGGGTTTTCCATCCAAGCGTCTCCCAGTTCCAGTAAATGGGTTGAATTTAGGCTCGGTTTCAGCCGGGGCATCCTCAACTATAAGGAGAAATAAATGGTTCTCAAATCTTCAACAAGATAGCAAATATTGCATGGCCTCATGGGGTATTACTACACATAGGTGATTCAATAGATGATTCAATTCGTCTCAGGCTAAAAAAGGAAAAATCAATTTTCACTTCAGCAATAGAATTAACAACTTGCAAACAGATGGTCAGCGGTCCCATGCATAAAAAATGAATAATTTCTCTATGCCCTTCTCCCAATACAACTCAAGCCTACAGCACTTGAGTAACGGACAGATAGATATATCAACCCTAATATACCATATAAAAGATATTCCTTATTTTAAAACGTGTAAATTATTTGCAATTTACAGAATCATTCATTTTACAAGCTTCTAAACTTGTTTAAGAGAAAATAACAGTTCCAAAATGAGACAGCCAAAAGAAAACAAATACAAATACTGAGGAGGAATCCATCCCATGAGAAACGGGGGTGATTAAGGTAGAAACAAACATTAAACAGAACAATATGGTACCTTTGTCTGATGCCTTGCTTGCAGAACGTGGTGCAGTGGGCTTCTCAGGTTCCTTGTAATCCAAGGGAGGAGCAAAGTCAACCTCACAGTCTGTCTCAATGATGCTTATTGCATCGGCAGGCTTGGTTTCTATAATATCTATGTAATATTTTTTGTTGTTGTATGCCACCATGATGCTATCTCCAGCAGTCAAGCAGGAAAAATTTCTCAAAGTTGTCTCCAGGCTGCATGGCAAAATACAGTCAAATAAAAAACAAAGTGTAAAAAAAAAAAAATAAAATAAAAAGGATAACGGCGTACCAAATAATATTACAAACTCCAGTCCGTTTCAATTTTAAAAGAACAGTTAATACTAAGAAACAGAATAGCATCATTAACGTCTAAGAGGACAATACAAAAGGACAATGCCTGAACTGAAAGCTTCAAAGCCCATTTTTATTTCATACAAAAAACAACAAAAAAAAGGACGGTAGAAGCCAACAACAGGAAGAAGCAAGATAATGAGGTAATTAGTATGAAGTAAAGATGTTGCAAGGAAGGAAACGGCTGCCTGGTAAGCTTTCTTAGAGATGTGGGAAAGACGAGGTAGCAACATAGTAGGTGAGAGTGTCGGGCTGTATGTATTGTCAAATAAAAGCTACTTCATCTCTCAGTAAACTATCATCAAACTATTGGTATACCAAGTTTTGGTTAGTTTCAGATGCGGTTTTCAAATTTTAAAATCCACCAACTAGTGCAAATTAAATTAAATGAAAAACCAAAGGTGTATGATGGATGGCGACTTGAAAAGTGAACCAAGGCACGAAAAGCATGTGTTGCACTTACTTCAAACAGCGTGGATATGTCTTTCAAAGATAATATGAATGGACACATATGACTAATCTCATAACCGCATATATAGCAACTCACATAGCTTTCGGATTGGAAATATCCAAGAAATCCTTCGTGTGGGGTTGTAACTTAACATATGTACCCTTTGGAAGTGTCACATTCTTCACTCTAACAATGTCTCCCTCTTGTAAAAGCATGTTCTCCATCATCTGCATCAAAAAAATCAAGGAGTAGTGCACAACAAAATAGAACCTCAGAGAACCATACTAGCTATAACAAGCATATCCTCAAACAATTACTTTTAAAAGCCTACCCAGTATGGCATATAAATCATGCCTTCCTCTGCAATGAATTCCAAAACCCCACAATGAGAAACTCGCTCAGCAGCATCATTCCGAAGTTCAAACAACATTGGATAATCAATATGCAAAGATGCTGCAAGATAAATTCAACATTAGCCCCCTTTCCACATCAAGTAGATGCCCCAAAAAGAAAAAGAACAGGATGAGCAGACAACATATGACAAAATTGAAGAAGATCAAATTGAAACAACAAACCTAGACGGTCAAGGGCTGAAGGAGGCATTATAACTGAAGTACAAAAAGAAATAAATTGACTTTAGCAGGAAGAAAACAATGAGATAATCCAAAAACTAGAAATTCCATGAACATAGAAACTTACTTTTGTCACCACTCTCAATTTGGGGCTGCAAGATTAATGAAGACAGAATGAAAGTAATTAGCCTCTACTTTATTCAAGTAGCACTAGGTTTTAAGAAAACTGCGACTTTTTCATATTAGCTATTATAGATTAATAATGACATTACAAGCTAATAT